TCGCAATAGAATATCATTTCGATGACGGTTCTGTCGATTATAAACAATTGGTGGAACATCGAATGATAACTTTCTCACGCAACGGTGAACGGAAGACTGTTTATCTCGCGAAAAGAAAGAGAATAAGAAGAAATTATTAATCACGTCGTCGCGCGCATCAAGTTAGGTTCTCGTCTCCACTATGTAAACGGGTTAACAATATGATCACCATGAAAGACTCTCTCTTCTAAGAGCCGGGGCTCGTCGACGCGTGATTAACGTGCGCGTAACGAGGAAGGCGTAATTAACTTTGACGCAATTTGCTCACTCTCAACACTGCGAGTGTGTTGTATAGACGCCGAGAAGTTAAAGTGACAGTTTCCGCAATAACGTCATACGTCCTCATCAAGGGTACACGCCGGTGCAGTACGTCAATGAGAAAGTCTGTGAGATATTCTTCATTAAAAATCTCATTCATACACGCGGTAAGCGTAGAATGTCGCACTCCATACGTATGCTAGATTCAACGAGCCGCTGTAATCTCTTATTTTATGTATATCTCGAGTGGCGTTAAATTATTAACAAAGTCGCAGCGCGCGAAAAATGTAAGTCTGTGTACAAAAGTGGAGCCGAGAAAATATTAGCTCCACGAGAAAAAAAATTCGCCGGGAAATTTTATTACATACAATCGATATGACCGGACATGTGAGCCCCTTGAAAATTTCATGAAGCGGTCTCATTCAGAGATGAGATTCGTAAAATTAGCATAGTACAAAAGAACAAAAGAGAGTAGCTTTGCGACACACTCACGTAACGTGGAGAAAAGCTACAGTAAAAATCAATAAAAAGCGGATATATAATATTATATCCATCCTGCCGTAACATGTGGTTTGCAAGAATAACATAACGCGCCGTGAGTAAGCAATCGTATATCCGCGAGAAGCACGTTTGCCTTGTGTCGAAGGGCGAAGGCAGTGGAACACCCACGTTTAAAAAGGAGGAAGATGACCGCGGCAGTGAGTGCGTCTCGATTTCGAACGTTTACTCACGGTTTCTGAACCCGCGGCCCCACCTTAACGACGTCGTAACTTGTTAATATTAGGTTCCGGTAATGAAACGTTCAATTTTCACACAGTGAAATCCATTCCTGATACGGGCTGTAAGTCTATAGCGAGATTCGATTATTCAATTACGCCTCAGCAACTGCCTGTTCATGAGAGACCCTTCACTTTCAATCGATTACACGTCAACAACTATCGCCGTCGGGATATTTTGGTCACGGGAGAATCGAATACATCGCAAAACGTATCATTAAAATTCATACACGAAAGAGGGAAAGAGAGAGAGAGAGAGAGAGAGAGAGAGAGAGAGAGAGAGAAAGAGATAAAGAGAGAGATTTACATGGCGTGTACAATTTTCGCGGCAATTGCATTGCACGTCGAGTTAACGCATCCGTTGTAGCGTGTGGTTACTCAAGTTCACGGCATAGTAAAGTTTTCTTATAAAAAAAAAACTTTGCGCGTAAATTTAATACAATTTATTTATAATGCGTACACACGCACGCACGCACGCATGATGTAGTGCATTAATGTAAATGCGAATAAGAGTCGTCGTACTGATGTTTTCCCTGTAGACAATGTGTATTTTAACAATAGCGCAATTTTACGACCCTAATAACGATTTACAGAACGGACGTCACCACGGAATTTCTACGTACAAGGTGCTTCCATCACAATGCCGGATAGATCACTTCTCAGATACACTGAGAGAGATTGGTCGTGCAAGAATGATTCAATCCACATAAAGTATATTTCGAGAAAAATGAAAATTTAGTACATGATTCAAAAAGTACGGATGGCACTGAGGTTCTCTGTAATCGTTTCAAAAGTCAAGCATGGCCAATATTCTTCTCTTTAAGAGTATTCATTGAAAAGAGCCTAACAAAGCCTCAAATTTCGCTAGATAATTTCGCTAATATCTCGGCCAAAAAATTAAAAACCGATATTTCTCATAGGATGTTTCCTGAATACAAAAATTGCTTGGATTTTGATAGCAAATATCCATTTGTGAATTTTTCAATTTCTCTCAGAGTACCGAGTGACACTTTGATCGTTTAACGATCGCGACTTTATCATTCTCGAATCGTCTACTGCAAGAGACGAAGTTGCGAGTTACAGAATTTAAAGGAAAATTTTTACTCTCGCGAATTCTGAAAAAGTTCTTTTTTCTCCCAAACATAAAATCGCTAACGCCTCGTGCAAGATACTCTACAACAGGTGACACTGATCGATCAGCGCGACTCGCCCGGTGTAACCTGTCTAGAAACTTATTCGGCTCAAGGCCTGTGTCGACACGGAACGAGGAAACGATTGAAGCGCGGAATTCGCGTAATCGCGACCGTGCTAGTCCGCGCTATAAATACGGGAGGTTACACGACGATATTCCCATCGTGGAGCGACATCATACCTACATCCAGCGTATATTTCCGTCGAGGTAAAAGCTTCCGTTCCGATACCCCGTGCGCCATCGGCACGTGCCGATTATTCATGAGGATGTGGGCGTTGTGCACAATAATTTCATGGATTCGACCTGATAAGTTTATATAGGGTGTATCAGGTGAGTGTATGCGTGCGTGCGTGCATGTGAACGGATCTCGCGCGCGGGACACTTTAGGCATTTTTCTTTTTTTTTTCGAGCTAGTGGTACACATTTTTACGGACGAGTCGTTTATTTTCTAAGTAGTCACGCGCGCGAATCCAGCCCCGAAAGTCCCGCACGGATATAACGCGTCGGTTTATATCCGCATCTCGGAACTTTACAACGACGTCTCAGCGTCTTGCTTTCGTTACTTTCAAAATAAACGATTATGTAATATCTATACGCACCCAACTGCGCGTACGTTCCGTCAATCTCTATTCTTTTGACACTGATCATTGGGCCGAAATTTCATTAGCCGTAACATATCTCTCGAGTAACATATGATCGCGACTCTTCGAGTTGCCTTCGCACGAACAATCAAAAGAAGGAGAAGGACAAAACGAAACGACACTCAATTTATCCACTCAAGTCCGACTAGATATTTACCCCGTAGTGCTGATCCCAATCGTGTAAGGTGATGTTATCTTGGGTCTTGATAAACCATGTAAACGCAGCGTAGCAATCAGAACCTTGTTAATAATTAGGACTCGATAACACTGTACAAACTAGATAACTAATTGGGATCAACCTAATCAGGACCATAGGATGAGTTTCTAGTCTAGGGAGTTTAATCGATTTAACGGCAATGAATTCATCGCGACTGACACACCGCGGATCATAATAATTAAATCACGTAGGGAACTTGTGTCAAACACGAGCAGACGAGCAGAGAGGTTAAAGTTCGAGCGAGGCGCGAGCGTTTGATCGGACTCTAGCGAGCAGATATCCGCGATCGCCATCAGACTCACCTCGTTTCACACATGTTACATCGCGATACGCATCGCGGTCAATGTACACGTACGTTGAAGCAGGCGGGCGGCGGGCAGCAGGAGAGCAGCAGACACGCGCGATTACTCTAATTGCGTCGAGATGCCGGCCGGCGCGATCGATGATTCAGTCAGTCGCAAAAACGGCTTATTATATTAATGAAATGGCAAACTCGGTCGGTGGTTCGTTCTCGCCCGCGATCTCGCCCGCGATCTCGCGCGGAAGCGCGCGTCACGCGGTATACGCTAATAATAGCGCGCGCGGCTTGTCGCGACTACGCTATACGCGATTACTCAATCGCTCAGTGTGTGCACTGCACTGCAACGAGTCAAAGTCCTGCTCAGGGAGTCTCGCGTGGAGTTCAATTCTAGATATGTGTGTGGGCTCGGCTGGCGTGTGCATGAGCTGCTCGTATCGTCGCGTGCGCCCGTAATGTCACGCAAATTTTTCTTTAACCGCTAATTTATGAGCCACACTGGTCTCGTTCCATCAGACCCGCGTATCTTCCCGTGATATTTTTATCCTTGCTTCGCTACGATGAATACTGTTTTATCAAATCGTCTTAGAAATCGGAAATCGTCTTAACTAATCTACACTGAAGAAAAGAAATATCTAAGAAATAGCAAATATTTGTTCGGTAGGTGTACCGATAATATACTTTGGTTCTCAATTATTTTGTTTCAATGAAACAAACAATTGCTTTCATGAGAAATAACGGTGTTTTAGGAAAATATTTATATGCTTATTTAAAAGGAATTTTTTTCCAATATAGAAATATGTATATTGTAGTGGAAGGAAACATAATATCTGCCGAGTAAATATTTTTTAGATATTTTTCTCTGACAGCGCACACGGAGAGAATATCAGGGCTTTTCTCCTATAAATTCTTGCTAATTTTACTATGTTTCTAGTAATGCAGGAATAAACGTGCAAATATTTCAACAGTATATTCCAGTCCAGTTATGATACGTATATAAAATAAAAGAATAGTTTGCAGAATGTCGATTTGTTGTTCGTTGTTTCAAAAATTCTATAGTAATATTTACTATAAAATTCTTGCCGTGTTAATCAAACGTGTTTTCGGATGCTGCTGCTTGAGCAAATTTGCACGGAAAAATTGCAACAGGCCGTAGCTTGCATGTAATCGCGATGTGAAAAATTCGATCGTTATCGCGAGTTCATCAACACGCGGTAATTATTCAACAACGAAGCTATTAACATACATTTCTCATTGGCATGCGACTTTCTCATCGTCTCGCGAGAACACACACACACACACACACACACCGCTTATCGATATTAACGTTTCTATCGTTTCATTCTCAATCGAACAACAGCTTGGGTGGTCGCGCTTTACGCGGAAACACCGGAGAAGTCAAGTCGGGAAGTAATGGCAATTGAATAACAGCATCGTTCATTCGTTGCAATTAATAACCGTTATTTACTGTAAACGCGACAATTGTCATTCGTACTGAGGCCGACCTGAGCCTCAGTGCAATTATCGAACTTTTTACACGGCGTTCTACCTCGAATAACGCCACGTCGTAATAACGCACCGTGCCGCATCGGGGAAGCAAGCGTTCTCGCTCGGCGGAAACGGAAACTTGACAGTCGAGAGGTGATAGCAGCGGAGCCGTAGTCCAAGTAACGCCGCTGGCAAGCGATTATTACGTCGAGAGACTCGTGGTCCTTTTGCGACCAAGTTCCGCTCGCACGACACGACAATTCGTTCTCGCGAGCGTCGCGAGAGAGAGAGAGAGAGAATCAAGTCTATTACGCACCCGTAAATTATCGACGTCGCACGTGCGTCGTGCGCGTAAACTGGCTCGGACTATTAGTATTGTTTGACGCGCGCGTCTACCCTGTCGTGCCACAGTGAATAATTGATGTCCGATGATTTATCACGCGGTAAATATAGACGAGTCATTCGCTGGCAATTAATCGTACGACTATTTTTTAGAAGAAAGATACGCGAGAAGCGCGCAATTCTCTCTCGCGAGTTGCACGCTCCGAATGTACTACGCACTGCTTGACGCAACATCCCATATAATTGCGCGTGATCGTGTGATATCACAATTATATAATCATACCAAGTTGATGACAGTTTCACTTTGAGACACTCATCATATCGCGCTACTATTTTGTCAACACTAGGAGATGCGCGTCGATATTCGAAGCGCATCGACGTAAGGAGGAGACAAATGTCACGCCGAGAATCTCTCTCCTTCTCTCTCTCTCCCTTTTTTTATGTCGACGGACACCGCCGAAGCGTTAAAAAGGCGTCGTCACACGCGTCGTCGTTTTCGCGTTATTTATATCGGCGTCTAAAGATAGCCGCGCGAAATCTGAGTCTTAATGGAACATCGTCCGACTTAATAGGGAACGATCGAGCGAGACCCGTCGCGGCGATTCGCTTCTCCAGGCTGGCCGGCAGTGACACAACCAAACATAGAGTAGTATTTTCTATGCATAGTCAGCTGTCCTCGAGAAGCGAAACGCCACGTCTCGTCGACGGCACTGAATCATCCGAGAAATTCTGCGCAGCTCGCGAGGCGATCCGACGCGTAAGTCTCGTGAGATAACGCGATAAATAACATCTCGACGCGCGGTCGATGGAAATATTCAGTCGGAATCTGGAACGGGGTCGACCAGAACCTCCCCGTCCCCCGCGTGTCTCGCCTTTAATTTATATACACCGTGTGTGTAGTCCGCGGAAAATTTGCGTGCATCAGTTGCTTCGCCGCGGTGGCATTCAGAAGCGAACTCAAAGATATCTTTCTCTTTCTATCGACTGCACGATTGATAAAATTGTACATATTTTTTTGTGTAGAGAGACCAACGCCGATGAACAAGATCTAACACAGCTTCGCGCGCGATAGCAGGAGATATCGATTCGCCGGCAAAGATTTAGCCGAGTTTCATTTCATTCATACAGAAATTATCACGCGTCGGGTATCAAAATTCGATTCCGACACTTCCACGATTTGGACCGATCTCTTCTCGCGGATCGTGTTATTGATGGAACTGTGCTGAACTGACTAGAAATTTAACGATCCTGTGATCAAGTTGATCGATTAGCTGGTGTGATGTTACCGTGACGATATCGGGTCTTGATTAATCATGTGTAACGCAATCAGATCCTTATGAATAATAAGGATTTAATAATTAAGACTTTATTAATCATTGAGACCCGCTAATCCGCTGAGTCTACACAAACCAAACAACCTGACTGGGGTCAACCCGATCAGAATCAAATTTCTAATCGGGAAGTAACGATTACGCGACAAAGTGCGAAAAGTAAGAAACGCATACTCATGTTGCTCATTTATCGCGATGATATTTCCGGTACACTGACAATGCGTTAGTGTATTATGGTCTACTTTGGCAGATAATATCGTAAAATAGCTTAATAGCCCGTAAATTATGCCGCTATCTTTCGCCAGCCTAAAAAGAGCCACCGGTTTATAATGATCCGCGGCGGAAGCATTATCGCGTGTTATGTAAATAGCGAATTTCGAGAAGACAGCACAACGCGTGCGAGATAATCGTTTACTCATTACAACAACGCGCGAACTGAAACGTGCTTTCGCAGCTCGACTAATATTAAACACGTTGACGCGACCGAACCTTCGTGCCGTGAGCGAAGCGCACATCTATAATTGTGCGATCTAGTCGATCAACGCTGCACTAAATAAAATGCTGTTATCGTTTTAATGTAATCGACGCGCAGAGTGTGTTAATTGGCGATATAACAGATAAATTACGTAACATGTTATATACGAGAGAGAGAGAGAGAGAGAGAGAGAGAGAGAGAGAGAGAGAGAGAGAGAGAGTTTCCTCTATCTTTCTCAAAATTATCTCGCACAAACACGATACGCTTTACTTTGGCGACATACACATAATAGCTTGTAAACAATAGCTTCGATGAGATATATCAAGTTTAGAGAACGAGCGAATTTAATCCAGCCTAGAGGATTAAATGGACTCGCGTCGTGCTACTTACATCCGCGTCATCCACACACACACACACATACAGTGCAGGTGCACTCGTGGTGAGCGCGAATCAGCGCACGATTCTACACAGAAAACTCATTTCGACTTGTGCGAACGGATGAGCATCGGTCTCGCAGCGTCGAAGACGAACTTTCGCGCGATTGATCGGGATGTCGAATTTTCGTCGGAGCAGAACCGACTGCTTCCAACTGAAATTTGTAATATTCGCGTCGATATCGATAGAGAGAGAGAGAGAGAGAGAGAGAGAGAGAGAGTGAGAGAGAAGGAAGAAAGGCACAGAGAGAGAAAGAGAGAGAAAAGAAAGCTCGTCGCGAACAGGTACGAGCAACGTCGGGAGTCTCAAATTACCGGGGCGCCTCGAGTCAGTTTCCTCCTTGAAATCAATACCGCCGAGCGCCGATTGATAGAGGTACATTGCACGCCACGTAGTTATTCGCCTATATACGCAAAGTAAAATAAACGAGGGGAACGCCAATGACGACGACCACGCCGACGACAATGGTCGGTCTCCGCAGCCTCCATTAAGGTTTGCGGGCAATTTCTCGCTAAAAATGTAATTCCGTCCAGCGTAAAAGCATGCAGGAAAAACGAGGAGGGTAGAGAAGATAAAGAGGAAAAGAGCGAGAAAGAGAAATTTTTATTTCCTTCAGCAAGAGCTTCTTACCGATGAAGACGCACCTTTTGCGTTTGACGCGGCATTAAAATGAACACGCCGAACAACGCTTGACCCATTGACTGACGAGAGCCAAGAAAATTGTCTCCACACACGAGACACTAATTGTGTCGGAGATGTAGTCTATGCGTAAACTAGTCACGCACTCGACACTCTTCAGAGTTCTAATAATAATAATTCAAGTTAACTACAGTTTGCCTGCTTGTTTGTTTAGTTCAAGTGAGCGGCAAAGATACTGGCAGCGCGACCAATCGATTATTTGTCAGGACCATAGTTCCTAGATGTTAGAACGAGCTTTTTAATCGTGTGGTTCTTCCAAATATATCGCATGTACAAAGTAAAAATCGGACATCGATGACAAAAAATGGCTGAAATAGACATTCGATTTATTGATTACGTAATAACCAAGTGGTAGCAGCTAACTTGACACTCGCTAACGCGGTCGCTTTTTTCTCACCGTCCGCAAACGCAAGGACTTGGCGCGACTCGAGTTAAGATAAACACTGAAATCAACGAAACCGGTCCGTGGCGCGCAATTTCCTAAACTTGAAATAGACGCACGGACCGGTTCTTATAAGACGCTCATTCTTCGCGCATCTGAAGAATACGACTATATGCGACAACAGAGACAACGTATTCTCACCCGGCTGCTGCTCCCTCTCGCCTCACAGTCAAAATATATAATCGACTTGATTAAAAAGAAAAGGTAAGGATAACAATAAAAGAGATGTCGATTGTACAAAAATTAGATGAGATACGCGAAAGCCCGAGTGTCAAAGTTCTAATCGGGTCGCCCGGTTAGCGCCGACGAGAATCCAAAGAGAAAAGTTTCTTTTTATTCTCTTTCTTTTTTTCGCGACGGCGCCAGTCGTTATCCTTAAACGCCGACACGTCGAGAGCGCAAAGTATCTCGCGAGATATATTTTTCCGGCGGAATCACAGATGGCTCCAAGGATGCGCGACGTGTCCTTCGCGAACGCTAATACGTCTCTCTTCCACGGATGCGAGACCGCTTGTTCGAGAAGTTTTGCGGCCGAAAACGACGCGGCGCTGAGATGGATTGTCTGCTTTAAAAATTATATACGTCTCGTGGGTTAGAGACGAAACGATAATCGAAACGTACAGCAGCCGGCACAGTCAACCGGCTTCCAACTGGCGCAACAACCAAACTCGCAGTAATAACGAAGGTTACACCTGCAACCTATATTTATCCGTTTATTTCCACTCACTTTACTTCAAGTGTCGATTGTAACGTGGATTAATTTGCGTTAACACGAGTCCTTGACAACCGAGCGGACAACCCTTCGCGACCGCGCGAAATGATTTCCTCCGATACAAGATATTAATCATATTAAGAGAACTGTAAGGCCAATAAGAGTTCTCCCTCCCTCCCCGTACGCTGGATTTTAATGTAAATAATTATTAAAATGAAAGGATAATGATATTTGACAGATGTACGCACCGAAATTTTTCTAATCTTACGACATACGCAATGACGCTTTCAAGCCAATCCCGAATTATATTTCCCCCTTCTCTTATCCTAACTGAATCGTGCATTTGATTCATTTGGTACATTCTAGTAATTTGATTCGCTCAAATATCCAATGCGTAGCTCTTTACACCATGCGTGTCTTATACACCAAGCATTAACTTGAGAAAGTTACGTAATCGTCTCTGCATAGGTCAGTTGCGCAGTTTGCACAATTTGCACGCGACAAATCCAATCATCTACGTACTCGCGCGAAGACGTAAATTATTTTTGTTTGCAATCACACGCGCCGGACACTGTCCAAAATTATTCTAAAGCGCGAACCAATACAGCAAGATCTCAAACGTTTGCACGTTTGCTAACAAGAGCGAGTATAATAAACGCGCACTTGAAATTCTCAACGTACTATCTTAAAATCGCAAAAAAGATGTGCCATTGAGAGATTGTTTGGTCAATCGCACAGTGTTAGGTTATCGCATTCTTATTCGTTCGTTGTAGATCCTTTTACTTTGATCGCTCTCGAAAAATATGAAAATACATTGTAATAAAGAGAGCAGGGATTATCTCGATTTACGCGCGTTATTAATGTAACCGATTGTCAACACTGTGCCTGTAACAGATGTTTTACTCGATTTCTGTGCAGCGCGAGGTATACAAATTGCGAAAGCAAAACACTTTCTAAAAAAAAAATCGATCGCCGAGTAGACTCACCGATGTACAGAGTGCGTAAATGATATAACATTTATCTCTTGCGATAAACTGTGCAAACCAATCGATCTTTCTCCCTATCAGGCCGGGGCTTAGAATGTTGCAATGTTTACGGCACATTTAAAATCGGCAGGATCTATTTGACAATTTCGAATGCGGCATTTCCCTAATACTCGAGACGAAAAGTCGGAAAAGGGACAGGTGGAAAGGAAAGAGAAGCTAAAATGAAGAACAGAAGAGAAATTAATTTGATAAATTATTGTGCGCTCCTCTCTCGTAACTCGCGTGAAGCTTACGTAAGTAACGACATATTGTCGCACAATCGTTGTATTGCGAGACTAAAGATCACAATCGAGAACGGCGTTTAAGAAGCAAAACGACGTCATTGTGAAGAATTTTGCTCGATCGCGAACGGAAATACTCTCGTTCTCGAGGAACGTGCGATGCGTCAAGCGGATATATTGGTCGTCGGCGGCGAAAGGGTTAAAGAAACGTTTTCCTCTCACCCTACTTCCCCTCGCTCCCCTCGGTCTCGCAGCTTTCCCCGGCTGGTTAGTCATCGAGACGTACTTTGAGAGGCCGAGGTAACCGGTGTCCGTGACTGTCGTCACGTTGCGATGAGAGCGCCCGGATCGTCGAGGTTGCATTCCGTTCGGCGGAGTGTCAATAATGCACGCACACAAAACGATTATATATATATATATATATATATATATATATATATATATATATA